TAACTTCTGTAGTTTTGCGACAGAAAGATTGGCTGACAAATGAATACGTTTTGATTTGGACCGGTTATAGTGACTTTCTTCACCACGCAGTTGTCCAATAAATGGGCGAACTTTTTCTTTCTTTGAAGCATTTTTGTGAGAAATTTTGTCTCCCCCTCTTCTCTCTTTTGGAACTGCACCTTCTTCTAATGCTACAGAAACTGTAGCTATTCTCTGATTTGTTACTCCAAATACAGCAATAAAAAACTTTTTACAAAGTCTCATTGCAGTTTTGCGAGATTTGAGCAAATAAGCAACTGTTGCATTCCTTTGTTTGATTTCTCGGGTATATCTATGTCGTTTGACAGGCATAACGGGTATAAAGTGACATAGCTCAATATCCTGTCGTATTTTGTCGACTTCTTCGTAAAAGTCTTTCCTGATTCTCGAAAGATCTTCCATTTCCACTTTGGCACACTCATATGTGGGGCCATTGTGATTACAAGGACGTCTGAAGTTTTCAAGTTCAGGATCCCAATCTGCATACCTTAAAAATAAATGAATAATGATTCACCTTTTTTAGCAAGAGCCCACTCAACCTTACCTTGTTCTCTTACTGGATTCACGTTTGGATTCCTTCTTTTTTCTTCTCCTGCTACCATCATTCCCCTCATTGACAATAATATCTTCTTCATCCATCAGGTAATCAGGTTTTCGGAGTAGAGAAACAAAACTATTTTCGGTGCACAACAATATTGTGTATACGAACCTCAACGACTACAACCGTGGAAGCACGTGAACACACTGAATGTTAACAATAAACTCGCGCCCGACAAGCATATGGATATAACCGGTTATGCTTGCAAATTTGGATATAACTGATTTTGCTCCAAAGCAACACTTTAAGACGACGATTTCGGTTGAATATATCTCGTTTTGTTCACATATCAATGCACCAGACGATATATCTCACGAAACTGATGCAGAAACATGTATAATGTCATTTTTGGTCAAAAGTGGATATAACCGGTTTTGCACGCGAGCTCCTCAATTAGAAATAAGTGTTTCAATAGGTTTGAATAACGCTGTAATGGAGATAAGTGCGACCAGAAGACAAATAGTTAATGTACTGCATGAACCTGCCAAACGAAACTTTCATAGAAGGAGAACTATAATAAGAGGTTTCGCAGACTTGTGACAAGTAGATTTAGCTAAGATGTTTTAACGTATTCTGAAGAGAATAGTGGTTATCGTTACATATTATTCACCATTGATTGCCCTTCTAAATATATCTGGACAGAGCCGATGAAATATAAAACCGGATCAAAAGTGACACATGCTATGGAGAGAGTATTAGAAACGGCTGAAAACTCGCTAAGGAATATGCAGTGAAAAAACTCTTCGAGTATCAAACACTAATTTTCATTTTCAAAATCAAAATTGCATATTCATTTGTATATCTACAGAATGAATTATCATATGTGGCTGAAATACATGAATATAATACAAGAAACAGAAACAATAGGTATAAAAGTTGAAAAATATAAAAAAAATAGTACACATAATTCCTTATTTTATAAAGGAGTAGGTTGTTTTAATGACCTCCCACAAGAAATTAAAGAGAGTGGTTCGATAAATACATTCAAAAGACGATTGAAGGATTATTTAATGAAAAATTAGTATTCAATTATTACTTGTTTTTGTACCTAGTTTTTATTTACACGTATGTATTTTTTATTCAGACTGATTGTATTTTTTCATGTTAATCTAAGTTCATTTATATGTGAATGTATTTACTATTGTGAATGAATTAGTTTTTCAACTAAATAAAGTGATATATACAGGGTCTTACATAATTCAATACAAATATTTTAATGACATATTCCTGGGGTCAAAATAAGACTTTTTTTCGCTGTAAACATGTGTCCTAAAATCCACCCCCTCCAAGCTACAGACATCGCAAGATGCGCAAAAAAAAATCTTAAATTTTGAATTGTGGCTACAATTATGCATCAAATATTTTGAAAATTCAAAGACACCTTCATTTTTAGACGATCTATTCATTTCTTGATTCAAAAATAAGGTAACTCGAATCGTAAGGGGTGAATGATGGTTGCATACAGATTTGATGGCAAACATTTTCTATTTCTTCCAAAAAAATTTGAATTCAAACATCATCGTTGAATTGGTCACTAAAAAATCATACATTTCAGTCTCTTGTATTTTATTGAATTAGCTAACCGTTTCAGAGAAAATCGCTAGTAAATGAAAGGGGTGTATTTTTAAATTATTATACTAAAAAAACTCAGTGAGTTATGATTATGTTTGTCTCTGGTTACTAATGATTAATAAATATTTTTTGCCAAACTGACATTGTGATATGTCCTAACCGTCATGTCACAATCGATTCACTTTCCTCAACTTACCATTACAAGCTCAGAAAACGGTTCAATTACCACAAATGTTTGTGGAAAAATAAATAATAATCAACTTTTTATACTGAAAATGATTCATTCAACGGTAAAAAAACACAAAATGAAATCTACTCTAACCATGATTTTGTTAAATCAAGTGCTGGAAATGCCCTCCTCTTGCTCAGGCCTCCATTCTCCTTCGCATAGACTGACGTACGTGTTCTGAAATTCTAGGAGTATTTCTTATGTGGTCAAAGCCATCTATGATTCGTTGACGAAGTACTTCAATCGAAGGCTAGAGCCTAGCGGGTTACAATCTGGTGAGCGGGGAGGCCAAGGTACTGGACCTGCTCTGCCAATCCATCGATTCGGAAACCGTAGGTTTAAATAATTGCGCACTGTTATTCGAAAATGCGGTGGTGCACCATCGTGCATAAACCATAGGCGCTGACGAATTAGTGAAGGAACGGAATCTATAAGACCATCTAAATTGTTTTCTAAAAAGTGTAAATATGTTTCGCCATTTAAAATTCTTGGAAAAAGAAAAGATCCAAATAGTTCATTTTCCACTATTCCGGCCCAAACATTTAGGCCTAAACTGCACCTGATGACGATTTTGTCTAATCTCGTGCGGATTTTCTACAGCCCAGACATGAGTATTGTGGAAATTTACAACTCCATCGCGGCTAAAGTTAGCCTCGTCAGTGAAAAGGACGAAGGATAAAAAATTTTGATTTCTTTCGCACTTTTCAAGTACCCACCTCGAGAACCGCAAGCGTCGCGGGAAATCCTGAGGAAGCAATCCTTGTACTCGTTGAATATGGTATGGGTATAAACTATTTTCGTGCAACACCCGCAAGATAGTTACATGGCAAATATCTAAATCCCGGGCAATTTTCCTAGTGCTCAATCCAGGATTTTCGTCAATGAGGTTTAAAATTTGCTCCTCTGTCTCTGGGTTACGGACTTCACGCGGTTGCCCCGCATTATTTCTGGGATTTTCCGTACTCGCGAAGATTACGATGAGTGTTTGCAAAAGTTCGTGCGTTGGGTGGACGGCGATTGGGATATCTGATTGCGTACAACCTTCTAAGCTTCAACTGAATTACCATTAGCCAGACCATAAACAAAATGGATATCAGCGAGATGTTCGTTTGAATAATTTGCCATTTCAACGTTTACTACAAGACACAAAACACAATTTATACCAAATCAAAAAACACAAAAAGATAAACTGTTTAACAAACGTCAAACTTACAAGTGAATCAGTGCTGTTTCACAAATTAAACGTCAAAAGCGTCAATAGGGGAAACAAAGTGAAAAGTCATAGCCCTCTAGGTATTTTTGTTTGTTACTTCAATACACCCCTTTCATTTACTAGCGATTTTCTCTTAAACGGTTAGCTAATTCAAGAAAATGCAGGAGACTGAAATGTATGATTTTTTAGTGGCCAATTCAACGATGATGTTTGAATTCAAATGTTTCTGGAGGAAATAGAAAATGTTTGCCATCAAATCTGTATGCAAGTGCCTGTGAATTTTCAAAATATTTGATGCATAATTTTAGCCACAATTCAAAATTTAAGATTTTTTTTGCGCATCTTGCGATGTCTGTAGCTTGGAGGGGGTGCATTTTAGGACACATGTTTATAGGAAAAAAAAGTCTTATTTTGACCCCAGGAATATGTCATTGAAATATTTGTATTGAATTATGTAACACCCTGTATATATAAGAGTGACCTCGGTAAAGAATTATATAACAACCACTTTGGCACATTGATGGCGAAATATGGGATCAATCATCATTCTACGTATAGTACGATGAAGGCTGCGATCGTTGAACGGGTGATAAGAACACTGAATAATTGGATTCATAAAGAATCTTCTGCCAGAGGTGAATATAAATGGTATGATATTTTACCGCGCCTAACCAATGCATACAATAACAAAGTGCATCGAACAATTGGTATAAAACCCTCTGAGGTGACATCTACTACGAAACTGTAAGCTTATACATTTTACTTGATTCTTTGGGATTTTGTCTCCTCTTTCCCATAAAATGAAAGTATTCGTATGATTTCAATATATTTGTAGAGGGACAAATCAGATGATGTGCCCCAAAATGTCACTGCGTTTAACAAATTTTTCTATCAGGGAGTCTAAAAAAAAACCAGTAGCTTGTCAGTGACAATTTATTCGAAAAAATGTTTGAAGGAAAGAAATATAGATATATTGAAAAAATATCGAATTTTTACTTATCTTTGGACGTTTCGGGACCTATTCTGCTCCCGTTCTCAACATGTAAATGCGAATTATGTTTCTTTGAAAGTTGTTGTTTCTTTGAAAGTTGTGCTGCGTATAGTTTGACACTTTTCAGTGTCATACTGATGTTGGCATATAAATGAGTGATTTAAGTCTGGAAATGAGTTACAGGATGTTCTCATTTTTCTTTTTTGATTGTTATTTTCCATTCCTATGATTTTCATATTATTCCACTCTGCCATATGTTGTCCATGTTCAGTTAGCTTCGATTCATCGATATGTCTTTTCTTGATGTTGTACTTGTGTTCTTTAGTCCTTACTGAGAAAGGTCTTTTCGTTTCACCTGTATAATACTTTCCAAAAACACAAGGTATACTATGAATATAATTTTTTGATGATTGTTCATCTTTTTGTGGCTTTGTTTGAGTTAGAATGGATCTCATTGTATTTTCAGTTTTGAACATAGTTTTCACTTGGAACTTATCACCAACACGTTTTATTTTTTCAGATATGCCGATAATGTACGGTATTATATTCATCCTTATTGATGGTTGTTTTTGTTGTGGTGTATTCTGTTTGTTTTCAATTTGGTGAATCGTTCTATCAATGAAGTTGGATATGAGTTGAGTTGAAGAACATCTCTGATGTGGTGGAATTCCTTATAGTCACATGAAGATAGCACCAAAAGCTAAATATCAAGTTGGTGATATAGTACGGATAAGCTAATATAAGGGGGTTTTTGAGAAGGGATATATAGCAAATTTCTCTACGGAACTATTCGAAATATTCGAAGTGAATTTAACGAATCCCAGAACATACAAACTTGAAGATATGGAGGGCAAACCGATCAAAGGATCCTTTTATGGATTGGAGCTATTGAAAACCACCAACCCTGAGGCATACTTGGTGGAAAAAGTCTTGAAGAAGAATGGAACAAAATTATTTGTCAAATGGCTCGGATTCTCTGACAAACATAATTCTTGGATTGATAAGTCTGCTATAATTTGATGTATGTAAACCCAAT